ACAGCACTTTGTGAACCTCCACGCTGCTCCGAACCTCGACGGGGAAGGTTCGCGGAACGACGGTTGCGAGACGGTCTCGGGTCATGGTCGGATCATGCTCCGATCATGGGCGGAATCGTCCCTCCATTGCGATTAGAGTTTTCATGCGCAGAGTTTGTGGCAGGCACAGCACTTTGTGAACCTCCATGCTGCTCCGAACCTCGACGGGGAAGCTCCGGGTCATGGTCGGATCATGCTCGGATCATGGGCGGAATCGTCCCTCCATTGCGATTAGAGTTTTCACTTGTTTCTTGAAGCGCAGGATTCGTGGCAGGCGCAGCACTTTGTGAACCTTCATGCGCAGATTGCGTGGCAGGCGCAGTACTTTGTGGACCTCCATGTGCAGATTTCGTGGCAGGCACAGCACTTTGTGAACCTCGATGCGCAGATTGCGTGGCAGGCGCAATACTTTGTGAACCTCCATGCGCAGATGTCGTGGCAGGCACAGCACTTTGCGAACCTCCATCTCCATGCGCGGATGTTGTGGCAGGCGCTGCACTTTGTGAACCTCCACGTGCAGATTTCGTGGCAGGCGCAGCAATTTGCGAACCTCCATGTGCAGATTTCGTGGCAGGCGCAGCACTTTGCGAACCTCCATGCGCAGATTTCGTAGCAGGCACAGCACTTTGTGAACCTCCGTGTGCAGATTTCGTGGCAGGCACAGCACTGTGTGGCACTGTGTGAACCTCCATGTGTAGATTTCGTGGCGGGCGCTGCACTTTGTGAAATTCCACGCGCAGATTTCGTGGCAGGCACAGCAATTTGTGAACCTCCATGTGCAGATTTCGTGGCAGGTGCAGGACTTTGTGAACCTCCACGCGCAGATTTCGTAGCAGGCAAAGCACTTTGTGAACCTCCATGCGCAGATTTCGTGGCAGGCACAGCACGGTGCAGATTTCGTGGCAGGCACAGCACGGTGCAGATTTCGTGGCAGGCACAGCGGCACAGCACTTTGTGAACCTCCACGCTTCTCCGAGCCTCGACGGGGAAGCTCCGCGGAACGACGGCTGCGAGACGGTCTCGGGTCATGGTCGGATCATGCTCGGATCATGGGCGGAATCAACCCTCCATTGTGATTAGAATTTTTCACTTGTTTCTTGAAGCGCAGGATTCGTGGCAGGCACAGCACTTTGTGAACCTCCATGCGCAGATTTCGTGGCAGGCGCCGCACTTTTTGAACCTCCATGCGCAGATTTCGTGGCAGGCGCAGCACTTTGTGAACCTCGAGGTGCAGATTTCGTGGCAGGCGCAGCACTTTGTGAACCTCCATGTGCAGATTTCGTGGCAGGCACAGCACTTTGTGAACCTCCATGCGCATTTTTCGTGGCAGGTGCAGCACTTTGTGAACCTCCATGTGTAGATTTCGTGGCAGGCGCAGCGATATGCGAACCTCCAAGTGCAGATTTCGTGGCAGGCACAGCACTTTGTGAACCTCGAGGTGCAGATTTCGTGGCAGGCGCAGCATAGAAGGGCGACTTTGTGAACCTGGGGAGCTGGAAGCTGAGAACTGGCGACTTTGTAGTGCAACTTTAGTACGCGGAGTAATCTGGCGAGGTGGAGGCTGAGAACTGGCGTCTTGATCAGAACTGGCGACTTTGTAGTTTAGTACACGGAGTATCTGGGGAGCTGGAAGCTGAGAACTGGCGACTTTCTAGTACAACTTTAGTACGCGGAGCAATCTGTGGAGCTGGAACCCGAGAACTGGCGACCTTGTAGTGCAACTTTAGTGCGCGGAGTATCTGGCGAGCTGGAAAGATGAGAACTGGCGACTTCGTAGTGCAACTTTAGTGCGCGGAGTAGCTGGGGAGCTGGAAGATGAGAACTGGCGACTTTGTAGTCCAACTTTAGTACGCGAAGCAATCTGTGGAGCTGGAAGCTGAGAACTGGCGACTTTCTAGTACAACTTTAGTACGCGGAGCAATCTGTGGAGCTGGAAGCTGAGAACTGGTGACTTTGTAGTACAACTTTAGTACGCGGAGCAATCTGTGGAGCTGGAAGATGAGAACTGGCGACTTTGTAGTAGAACTTTAGTACGCGGAGTATCTGGGGAGCTGCAGACTGAGAACTGGCGACTTTGTAGTACAACTTCAGTGGGGAGCTGGAAGCTGAGAACTGGTGACTTTGTAGTACAACTTTAGTACGCGGAGTATCTGGGGAGCTGGGAGATGAGAACTGGCGACTTTGTAGTACAACTTTAGTACGCGGAGTATATGGGGAGCTGGAAGCTGAGAACTGGCGACTTTCTAGTGCAACTTTAGTACGCGGAGCAATCTGTGGAGCTGGATGCTGAGAACTGGCGACTTTGTAGTACAACTTTAGTACGCGGAGTATCTGGGCAGCTGGAAGACTTGTTTCGTCAAAGAACATCGCAGCTCAGCGAATCAGCCTGCCACATGCCCATTTCCGAAAGGTTTATTCTTTTGGAAACTTCCGCCGCCGGCTTGCCCGGAAACTACTTGTAGCGTCCTTGCTAGTTGTAGTGAGGCCAGGAGCCCCTAGTAGCGTCCTTGCTACTTGTAGTAAGGCCAGGAGCCCCTAGTAGCGTCCTTGCTACTAGTAGTCCTTGCTAGTTGTAGTAAGGCCAGGAGCCCCTAGTAGCGTCCTTGCTACTAGTCGTAAGGCCAGGAGCCCCTAGTAGCGTCCTTGCTACTAGTAGTAAGGCCAAGAGCCCCTAGTAGCGTCCTTCCTACTAGTGGTAGCCAGGAGCCCCTAGTAGCGTCCTTGCAGGCCAGGAGCCCCTAGTAG